TTAAACGAAAACACTCTTTAAAATGAGAGCTAAATACATGAACTCGTACTTAAAACAAGCACACACCAAAGAGGTTGAGAAAATAGGGGTAAATAGCTACAAAGTATTGCTAAATTTCAACGATTCTGCTTGGAATATTAACAAACATTAATTGTGCATATAATTAGAAGCGTTATAACATTTTGAGTTATTTAGTCTACATATCTTTTAAAATTTGCTCTCATTGGCTGTTTTATTAACTTACAAAAACTAAAAAATCCATTCGCGTTGTCGAATCGCGTCCGGTGTGTCTGGACCTTTAAGCAGCCCACTTTTCGAAATTTGTCAGCCACCTGAGGATTCCTCTTGGGTGAAACAGGCTGTTGTGGCAATCTTTAGAGGTAAAACGACTATTTCTGCTCTATATATATATGATATCGAGCATTCTTTTTGGCATTGTATAGATCAAGCCTATACTCAGAAAAATTATGAGCCCTAACGGGAATCGAACTACGTAACCTTCTGATAACCGGACAGAACGCGCTCTAACCATTGAGCTATAGGATCTCAGATGGTTAGCCAAGGTTACGTTATTTACTAGTTCTGTGTGTTACATGTGTACTGCTAAGTCTACAGGAGGAAACCAAAACTAAACTAAATTCATTTATACTAGATAGCTGTAACTGTTTTAATCTGTTCTCCCTATAGAGCTTGAGAGAGGTGCATTAACCAGCATTACTATTTCTTTTGATATATGTCGTGTTTTCCAGTGCCTTTTTTAAGGAATTTTCACTGGAGGGGCAAAACAGGAAAAAAGGCAGAACGAAAAATATGAGCCGTCGAGGTTTGGCTAACGCGCGAGTCTGAAGAGAGATTTTGTAAAACTTTAATTTATTAACTTCACCTATATTTTACTTTAAACAATAACTTCAACTCTTTGTAGCTATAACCGTACAGCTATAACCAGTGGTGTAGCCAGACCTTAATTATTTGGGGGGGGGAGGTGAACCTCACACCGAAGGTGTGAGACCGTCTAGAAGGGTCCGGGGCATGCACCCCCGGGAAAATTTTGAAATCTAGGGTCCCTGAATTGCGATTTCAACGAATTCCGAAGATTATAAAGTACATCGAAGACATGAATTTTTCCACACATTTCTACTCGGAATTAAATAAATTGGAAAAGTCACCTTGAAAAATAGGAGGAGGGGTCAGTGTCACCTTATTTCCTCTCTGTGATGCTGGGGGGGGGGGGAGAAAACCCCGATGTGATTTTGATCAGAAATGTTGCATTTAAATCATTTTAGGTTCTATGAGACACCATTTCCGCATTCTCAAAATTGCGTTGCTTTTTCATACGATACAGAATAAATCTGAGAAGAAATATTCATGCTATGATGATGCATACATGTATTTAACAGTTAAAAATCTAAACTAAATCTATTCTTCTTGGAACCATATCTACAACTGCTTTAACGAGATTTCACAAATCAAGTTCCTCCAGTATATCGTCTTTTTCCTCAGTCGAGACGTACTTAATCAGTTTCAGCTTCGAGCATGTAACGTGTACCCCCCCCCCCCTCCCCATTTCTCTACGGATTTAGCCTTTCTGAGAGAATGGTTTTTGTGGCGATTGGGGGGGGGGCTGTTAATATAACTTGATATTTTTAGGAAGAAAAAATTGCAACCAAACCTCCCAAAACAAAACACAACGCCTCTGCGGAGAAGAGTGCTAGGAAATAGTCGCAAGGCTTGGAAAGTCTAGCATTTTATCGGATTGTTTGCACGAAATCTATCGCTATTATGAAATACTCGGTGAAGAACAATATGAATTACACACAAGATGGCTGTGGAGGAGGCTATATATGGAAGGGCATAATCTCATTATCAAGTAAATCAACTGCAATTCTGACAGCAATCATGAGCAATTCTGCTTCGCACTTCGGGGGCAGAAATAGACTGGGGGCAAATTCTTCCCCTGGGGGGCAATTGCCCCCCAGATATATAGTTAAAAAAGGCACTGGTGTTTTCATTGTGCTGTACGGTGTCTTAACGCTGTAGTGTACAATTGTGTTTTTGAAACTTGTAAAGTGAAAAGTGTAGTAATTAAAACTTTTATATTTCGAACGACATAGTTTTACATTTCATTTTACCAAATTTCTCAGCCATTTCCTGAAGAAATTAATGTTAAACAGAAAATATTTTTTAATTCTAAGTTTGGTGAAAAAGTCTTTCCATCATTGTGTTTATATTCGAAATCGAGAATAAAGCAATAAAATCACGCAGGAAGCCATTTTGAAAGCGTGCGTGTACAAGAAACACTGCAACACTAAAACAGTAACCGTAAACCGATCGAAAACAGTTTTGTTTCAGAATTTTAATTATTTTAATTAAACTAATAGTTGGATAACTTGAATATTTTGTTTTATTCATTAAAAATTTATTCTAAAACAATTATTCGCCTCAGACTCAGTGATTACGTTGAATATTCACCTCGACTTCGTCTCGGTTTATATTCACCGGTAATCACTTCACCTTCAGCGAATAATTGTTAAATATTAAATTAACCCAAAAGAAAATTTTAACCAGAATATTTTAAAGTATTGGTATCTCACAACTTGTCAACAAGATGTGTTCGCAACAGGGTTGTAGCAAGCTTGTAACAATGCTGTTATTTTATCAAGTGTCACTCACAACTTGTTGACAAATTGTTGAATTGCAGGACGATATTGTTGGAACAACTTGTAACAAGGCTGTTGAGCTCAGCAACCTTGCAGCAAGTTCAAGTTAACAAGCTGGGAACAAGCAGTGCGAACACATCCTGTTGACACGTTGTTGGAACGGCATTACTACGAGTCTGCTGTAGGTTTCTTACAACGTGTGCGTTTTTACGTGTGGAGGCGGGGGCGGAGTGAATATTATAGACCCGGAAATAGCCGACACAATATGATTCCTATAGTAAAATTAATGTAATACTTGATAAAGCTAAATAGGAAACCTCTCACTTTGTTACCGAAACATATTAAAATCTTGTTGTTTCTTCAAATATTCCCCCAGTCTGTATGTCCATTCTTGAAAACGTTAATTGTTACTCGGAAACAAAACTTATTTTCTGGAAAGCAATACTCAGGAATACTCGCTATAGTATGGTTATATGTGTCCCGCAAAAATGTACCGACTTTATACATGCTATACAAATGTTAGTATGACAAATGGTTTGCCCAGTTTTGGGAGACGCAAGTTTTGGAAAACCTTCGGAAAACATGGCTACGAAATTATGGTTTGACAACAATTAGAAACAATCGCTAGTAAACGATGTTTTCGCAACAATAATTTCTAGTTTCTCTTCCGCCCTAGCTGTAGTGTAAAAAAGCGTGGTTGCCGTTTTATGACTTTGAGTTCTCGATACACTGTTTAGTATACAATTAAAGGCCGAGACACACCGGCAACGCGGCGCGATTTTTCGATTTTCACTGACCGAGAACTTTGATCCTAGTTTAAGTTTTTCAAATATTTAGAAGCGCTATAACATCTTGAGTTAGTTGGTCTACATGTTTTTTAAAATTTCCTTTCATTGGCTGTTTTATTAACTTTCAAAAAAGTGGAAAATCGCGCCCCGTTGTCGCATCCCGTCCGGTGTGGCCAATAATAGGGACCTTTAGCAAATAGGTGACGGCAACGCGACGACGACGGCCAAAACAAACTCGTTCAAATAAGTAACTTTATGAGAACATGTCTTTTATTATCCGTTGTATGAATTTATTGCAGTTTAAGAAGGTTAAGTCTTAAGACAGAGGTTTATAGTTGAGAAGGCTTCTACTAAGCCAATTTGCCGAGGACGACTTCTCGCGACTTGAAAGGCAGACGTTGTATACAAAACGTGAAAAGCTTTGGTTTGTTGTTGTAAACAGAGCAAGGACGACGTCTAAAACTCCCAAAGGACTTTAATTATGCATTTTCTTTCTACACTGTCATAAATTTCATTGTATTAATAGCCGTCGCCGTCCTGTTAGCTAAAGGTCCCTAATACTCAATTTATACAAGACTTACCAAGATTGAATAGGGAAAATAACGGTGAATTTAATTGGAAGAGTACCAAAAGACAAAATTCCTTCTATGACTTTGCTTCTATACGCCTTCACAGTTTCTTTTTACTGAAAAAACTACTGCGTAATCAACTTTGTCTTTGAAAATAATCATTTCAGCAAATTCAGATGCAAGCTGTCAAGCAGCAAGCCAACCCATCGTGGAAAAGAAATAAGGGGAGAATAGAGACGACGGGTGGTTGATGACGGGATGAAAATTTCAGTTAAATGAGCTACGAGTACGTCACGAATAGGACTTGAACCCTACCGTTGAATAGTACAAAACCATCACCTGATCATAATCAGCCAATTAAATGACCAGAATTTGATTAGATATATTAATAACAGTTATATAATAAGGAGTAGAAATTTCCAGAATTATGTATTGGTTATATGTTATTATATAGTTATATTGACAGCTATATTTGTAAATTACGTTAGCTAAGTGCGATCTACAATTCTATATATAGTGTAAAAAATCGTTAATTTGAAAATAAAACTTTTCAAAGACGACCAAAAAATTGTGCAAGTCCCGACGAAGAACGACAGCAGCCTTTGAAAAACTTACAAGTGTATATATTTTCCCAAATTCCATGAGAAACTACACTATTATTATTCATAATATGCATGAATAAATTATGCGGAAACAAATTGTGGTCACGTGCATGCATGAACCACGTGAGATATAAATGGATTTACTTATTCATTGGAATGACACAACAATTTCATACAAGTTTTCAACTGTCAAAATTTAAACCAATTTCCACCTGACACTGTTTCTCAGTAAAATTGCAGGACTCCTAATCAATCAGAAGTATTGTTACTATTATTTGTAACTCAGGATTGTTAATTCTCATAGCAACATATGAATTTATGCATGCAGAGACGTTCAAAAGTGTTTTTTTTCTCCAGATATCGTTCTCTTGGTAGTATGTTGTATTACACGTTTTCTTCTTTGTCTAATTCATGTGGTTCTTCTTCGTCTGGTTCATGTGGTTCTTCTTCGTCTGGTTCATGTGGTTCTTCTTCGTCTGATTCATGTGGTTCTTCTTCGTCAGGTTCATGTGGTTCTTCTTCGTCGGGTTCATGTGGTTCTTCGTGTGGTTCATGTGGTTCTTCTTCGTCTGGTTCATGTGGTTCTTCTTCGTCTAATTCATGTTGTTCTTCTTCGTCTGGTTCATGTGGTTCTTCTTCGTCTGGTTCATGTGGTTCTTCTTCGTCGGGTTCATGTGGTTCTTCTGTTGGTGAGAAGAAGACCTTGTTATGTACCATGTAAAAAATTGTACCTAGGACCGTGGCTATTATAACCAACGACAGCACAATTGGTCTCAATACACTCATATGTTTCGCATCAGGTGTTGAAATTGTGACCGCCAAGATTGCGAGCAAAACGTTCTCCACGGAAAGTAAACTGTACAACACAAAATGGCGACTTCGCGCTCTCAAATTGTTTTTCATTATCCGATCTGGCATGTGTAATATAAACACAATGCCATGGAAAATCCCACTGACGTAACATGATATAAATCTGTAGACACCATTGTGGAGCAGACTCTGTAAGTGTTTCTACATAACGTACCCACGCGAGGTTGTATCCTGACCTGTTAGACTCCTTCATCACCACGCGGTACTGTTCGCAATCTGGACAATTGCATTCCTTATAGTTGTCTCCACAAGGGGGATTATTCCAATGTGGTTGCTTCCAGTATTTGAACTCTTGGCCATAACGCACAAATATGGACGAACATACAAACCATAAACGACAGCTTAGTTTTCTACAAAAACGATGTTTTATTGTTTGATAGGTAGCCATAAGATTGACGATGAAAAGAGGAACGATAATAAAAAGTAACGTCAAACCAAACCACCAATATTCGCCTTTAAGCCCATACTGTGCAGCTACAACGATGTCTGTGACCAGATCAAATATAAACAACACGAGACCTGTGATCAGCATGAATAATTTCTTCTAGTCTCATGTTGACCTGTTGAATGAAAAAAATTGTCTTACTATTGGGTCTTCTCATAGGCTAGCAGATGGCGACCAACTACTCAACTTTAGAAGTTAAGATTAGAAATCTAGTGTAGCAGATGATGGTCATTTTCACAAATGTTGACATTCATAGATACATATCTCAATTCGGCTTAGAATACAGTTGGTGCTAACTGAGTGAAAAATACTTGACATGTCTACATAGATATATAGAGATTTCAGCTGGTTGAAAATTTGACACATTTTTAAAGTCAGTTCTGTACCCACTTCAATAAAAGCTACGTAGTTTGGTTTTCAACACATAGAAATATCGAGCTGTGTTTCTGAGAGGAATTTAGTTATTACCATTTGAATTCAAGCGCTAGACCGCGGAGTCTGGATAAAACGCGGCGAAAGAGGGGATGAAACGCGGATAAAAGAAAACACCCCCGGATCGGAGGGTAAAACGTGGAATGACGTTTCCTGAAAACTGATTCTTCGGTGACGATAACCGCATAAGAGTGAATAACTTCATGAGTGTCAGGTGGTTAGGGGATAAACGACGTTAAGAAATCTTGTGAATTAGTGATAAATAAACATTAACCGATTTTGTCTATCTGCTGCAGTCTGTGTTTGTTCAACTGTCTGACAAAGGGAACAAACTTCGCAACTTGAACATGCTTTAAAATACAAAACAATAGATACTCCGAAAATTGAATGCATTTTGAAAATTTATTTCGACGTTTCAACTAAACTATAGTTATCATCAGGAAATGGATGATGATGATATTACATATGTACAAGAACATGCTTTTATTCCGCTCTTGCAAAGTGACGTCACAACAAGTAATTCGACACAATTGTTTGACTTCCGCCCGTTGTGGTTGGCAAGTGTTTAGAGCTATATTTTGTTTGATTTCTGATTCTACTAAAACAATTAGATTACTCTCTGCCGGTGTTTATTAGGTGATAGTTGATTCGGGCTTCGTCCTCATCAACTATCACCTCATAGAAATCTCGAGCTGGTAATCTAATTGTTAAATATTTATACTGATTACTGTATATTTATACTATACATATTATATATATAATGAATAGTTACCCAGCTGCGGTAAACATAACGGTCGTCCGTACACCAAGATTCCAACCGGTTGAGAATTTGACACATTCTTACAAGTCAGTTCGGTACACACATCAATTTGAAAAGCACTCGCGAGCGAATCCTAAATAAATAAAATTCAAAACAAAAAAGTCTTTAAAAGATTACAAGATGGCTAATCTAATACTAACAAATTTTAAAAAGAGTTGAGTTAGGTTTGGCACATGAGTGGAGCGACGTATGAATCAATGTCGCTCCAACGTTGCACAATGCGCCAGGCTCTGCTGAACTTACGAAGAAGATACGTCCTAAGGGTCTGAAGTTTGTTCGGCGAAAGGTATGGCTAGTTTATAACTGAATATTTGCGAAGAAAATAAGGAATTTATGTAATGTGATTTATCAAAGTAAAATCTACTTTATCTAACGTAGTTTAATAACCAGGAAACTAGAATTATTAGGAAGGTGTTAAGCTGTTAAGGGAATTTACTAATACTATAAGCTTGGCGCCGCCATATCTAAAATAGAACATGCATATTGGCACGCAGTGTGGGTGAGACTGCAGGGGCGGAGCGAAGACTATCCTTTTCGGGGGGTGCAAGACAACTTTTTGCCGACAAAAGGGCGTGGCTAGCGCGGTTAGGGCGTGGTCAAAGCAAACCGTATTCATTTTTAAGTGATATTCAATGATTAACACCTTGTAGTAAGATAATTTATTTTAATTTATTTTTAAAATAGGCGAAATAGTTCCGAAAAAAATCGAAAAAACACATCCATTCGTCATCAAACGCCCGATTGCAAACTAAACACGTCAGTTTCTCTCTCTTCCGTTTGCGTTTTTGCTTGCTACTGTCCATACTTTTAAATCATCTCCATATTTCTCATTGTATAAAAGACCGTTCGGAGTAATTTCTAAGACTTTTACTGGCTTTACAAGATTATGAAATGAAGCGCAGACGCATCAACATTCAACAGACACATGTGCTTCGAATTTCCTAGCTATGGTATACTTCACAAAATTGCAAGAAAATATAATACTATTAAATAGCGTATTAGCGTAATAAGTTCTTAGCCAATTTAGCGGAATGTTCGGAAAAGGGCCGAGCTTTCAGTCGACATATCCATCTTTTCAATCTCGCATTTTCTACAAATTTTCTACAATCTCTCTCCGTGAGAGGAGTGGTGCAAACCTTATATAATGGACAGCTACACTGCCAATCGTCAGTATCGACAACAACTGCTGAGAAAGACATCATTCAAAGTTGACCCACCTCCTCCCCAAAACCTCCTCTCATGTTGACTATTAGCTATGAACAACTTAATTAATTAATCATATACTTATTGACCTATAGCTTAGTATTATTATTAAGATTATATACAATTAATTACTTTATTGAATAATATTATGACATAAGGGTTGGCGATAATTTAGCTCCACCCTTTTCTTGGCATGAAACATTGGTATTTTCAAACACTTATGTATTAATAAATATTGTTTTATTTACTGAAATGAATCGGCTAGGACGATGGTTACTCCTAGCCAAATTATCCAAAACATTGCTATTTTCAAACATATATATATTAATAAATATTGTTTTGTTTACTTAAATAAATCGGCTAGAAGGATTGTTACTCCGAGCCAAAATATCCCAAAAGTGTGCTATCTTTAATGTTTGTCGAATGCCAAGAAAACAAAGCTTCGGAGAATGAATGCATGCACATGCGGTTGCTACAGGGGCAGTCTGTAATTTATAATACATAAATCACATTACATAAAATTTATTCAGAAAATTAGGTAATTTGATTATATACGATCTGACTTTTCAAAGGCCATAAATCGCTTGATGGGAAGCAATACTCAGGAATATTTTGTTTCGCTAGTGTGGTTATATTGTCCCACAAACATGAAATAGGTTCTTAGTTTCAATCTGCATGTATGGATATACCACAGCCAATATTGCATGGCTGTGATTAAGTAATTACAAATCGTAGCTGACTGAATTACTGAAAAGTGATTGACTCGAGGAATGAAGATTAAGTCTATAGGCCGATTTACACCACACATCTCAGCAGGGAAAGCTGTGTGCTTGATTTACACAGTACAACTCAAGTTGTAAGCAGGTTGAATGCGACAGTTTTAAGCAAAAGTTGTGTAGTACAGATCGCCTTCTGACGTAGACCATATACATATGCTAGTATTCAAATGTTAGTGTGGCAAATGGTTTGCCCAGTTTTGGGAGACGCATGCATGGGAAAACCTTCGGGAAACATGGCTAGGAAATGAGAAACAATCGCTAATAAACGATGTTATAGCAACAATATTTTCTAGTTTCTCTTGCGCCCCAGCAAGTGCTTCATTGGTCGTTGTCATTCTAACCCACGTCATGGAAACACAGTTCAATATACACTAATACTCAGTTTACACATGACTTACCAACGTTAAATAGGGAAAATAACGGTGAATTCAATTGCAGGAGTACCAAAAGATTCCTTTATCCCTCGCTTGTACACGCTCGTATAGTTTCGCTTTACTGAAACATCTACTGCGTAATCAACTTTGGAAATAATTATCTCGGCTAATTCAGATGCAGTCAACCAGCAAGCCAACCGATCGTGGAAAGGAAATAAGGGAAGAATAGAGACGACGGGTGATTGAATAGCATTATATACGCAGAATTTAAACTAGAACATTTAACATGCAGCATTTAAGTGTGGGAAAAACTAAACTGACATATCAAACTCATTAACAATTCATGAGTAAATTAACCAACCATATTGCTTTATCAGTGCTCACATGATAATACTGGAATACCTGGTGAAGTATATTGATCCAGTCCTAGGACAGGATCAAAATTAATTCATATCACTTTAAGTAGTGATTTATTCGTACGAGATGTCATTTCAAATTTTCCAATTCGGACTGGACTAGATTTCAAGTCCTCGCAGTTTGATAAAGTCCGAGGCGAAGTCGAGGACTGGATCAAAATGCGAGGATTTTAAATCTAGTCCAGTCCTCATAGTCGGATTTGAAATATTACTATAAATGTGTTTTCCATATAATGAGGATATATACAATATTAATGAATGTTTATGAGCGCAATGGTAAATATATTTTCATGAGTTGAGTGAAAGATGACACCAAAATACTGGAAATTTTATTTTTATCGAATTTTTAAATAAAACAAGACGCCTGCTCAGGCGTTCACACTGACCTTATAATGCACGCTGATGTGTAAGGGTAGAACAGTTGGTAGAACCGTTTGAATAACACTTATTATACATGTATATTTATGCCAGGCTAGAGATGGGTAAACAAACGTTTAAGAATTTTAAAATGTCCGTAGACAGGCTATAGGGTTCAACCAAACAAGACAAAAAATGCTATTGCACAATCAGTTCGTTCCTTACCTGGCGGCCATTTGGACTTGAGCCCCAGCTCCATTCCAGGTCAGCGGTTCACTTTCACGTTGACGAAAAAAACGAAGAATTTTCACACATAAAATTAGGGAACCTTAACACCAGGCCTTACGGACAGTGTAATTAAATACAAAATAAATGCATACCTTGTTAAAAAATAATCCAACAAAAAAGTGCCAACAAATGTTTTAGTGAAGAATGAATATATGATAATGGCGATAATTTATTGTACTAAAAAATATTGTAAAAGTTATCGTAAAAATATTGGATTTTTACACCCGCCATTTTGTTTCGCACGAGTTATATATTTGAATTTAAATCCATCCGGTCTCCGGATGAAACTTATAGTTAAATGAGCTACGATTACGATGCGAATAAGATTTTGAATGATTGAACTGACTTAAACCCTGCCGTTGAATAGTAAAAAAACCATCACGTGATCATAATCAGCCAATTAAATGATCAGAATTTT